ATCTGATTAGAAAGTTGCATAGAAGACCATCAAGTTCAAGGAGCAAAAATAACGACAGATGGCTCAACTAGTACTAACCATTCCAGTAAAAATCCTTAGACAATGACTTTATTAACACTACTGTCTTAAAAATTGTCACAAATTATCTTTTATTGACCTAAGTGTTGATAATTCCATTTGCCTTTGTGTTGTTGCCAACAATAAGAAGTAACTCTGTTTGTGCCTGCTAAGGAGGCAGGCTGGGTGGTGGATGGGAAATTGGGAACACTGGTGGAGGGAAGGTCACACTGGTGGTGGGATTGGTGTTGGAACACGGAATGCAGAAACACTGTATCATGAACAGTTTGGTGAATCACATTGTTCCTGTAAATTTTTTTGAATGTAACATAAAGTTCAATCTTTTCTAAAAATTCAGGTAGATGCATAAAGTTTGTTTCAAAATATTACTAACCAATTATTGGTATTATAATGTGCCAATTTAATAACTGAAAGTAATTATTTAATTACTGAGAAAGGATATTCTATGATATTAAACAGGATTTTTTTATTGATTAAAAGGAAAAGTTATGAACATTGAACACTGACCTGTGGGAAGCCAAGAGCCCTCTCACAGACTCTGGCCATGGTTCCCATGTTAGGAACTGCTTGGGACAGACATTGGTGACAGTCTCCCAGGACTTCCTGATCTCAGTGGATACCTGATCTATAGCCACACATCAGGCTGACAGCTTATCTGGCCTTATCTATAGTAACCTCCAGGATGCATCTACTGCCCTAAACCCCTTTGATATACAAATGTAAAGCTCAGAATACACCTACTGCCATAAGGCCCTTTGATATACAAATGTCTACCTTGAATGTTAGGTAAAGCTCTTGTTGCTGACCTTACTACCATATATGGTTATACTGCTTCTGCTCCTGACTGAGCTGCCCGGACTCTATATAAACAGCCTGTATCCCTCAATAAAGTCCTGTCCCTTTTTCTCTCTGTTTCTAAACTGTACTCTGTCTCTTGTGTCTTGTGTTCATTCGGTCGGTCCTTCCCTGCACCTACGGATCCCAGGGCCACCTCTGCGGAGAGTGGTTTTGCGGGCCCTCCGCACTGACCACAGTGAATAATCATAAATGAATAAGAAAAGGAAATAACACGAAAATAAGTATTGTAAGGGACAGGCCCAAAATGGACTACCACCAGAATTAATTTAGCTTAGCTTAATAGGAACCTGCATTGCAAAATAACTTGTTTTTCAAGGAACAGGTCTAGATAGCTTTTTCAGATCGCTTTATAGGAGCCTGCACTGCAAAATAACTGGTTTTTCTGCCCCTGAGCAAGGAATTCAGATACAGGTACAGGTAAAGGGTGGGGGTCAGACCAGATAACCGGATGTCTCTCACAAGACCCATGTTGCAAGACCCAGGACTGCCTTAAAAACCTGTCAGTTCCTAAGCACCGACGCAAAATGCTGATCTTTAAACTATAGGCTAAGAAGTGATGTACCCTTAATTGGATTGGTTAAGAAAGCATATGTTGTTACAAATCTATTGGCTATGAAATGCACGGGCTTTGCTGTAACGGCCAGTGAAGGCCTATATAAGATCCTCACCTAACTGACCTGCGTGTCTGTGTAGGCGGCTTGACCCTGGCTAGCCAGTCTTACAATAAACCTTGCTTGCTGTTTGCAGTCTCTGGAATCTCTTTGTCGTTAAAGGGAGATCACGATCCATGCCCTAACAGTATCTGTGAGAAATTATTTACAACAAATATGTACAGAGAGTATAAACACTACAGTATAAACAATGCTTTCTAGTGGACAGAAAAAGATGTATAAGCAGCTACAGGTTACAGAAATGTAATGAAAGAATAGCCTATGAATTAAAGGTATACTTGATTATGGATGAAAATTGTTTTTGAAAGAGAAGAAGGGAGAACTTTTAACTTTTAGGTGAAGGCAGTGCTGAGGAGGCTGGGAATGACTGGGCATCGTCCACCACGGCTGTGGAGACTCTAACTTATGCTCTTTCATCACTGCACAATTGGGCGTCTGAGAGAACTGGCTCATGGAGGAGGCGCTGTGCCCATGATGGAAGGGTACTGAGTGGGGGTGGCTAGGGTCCCGGGGCAGGTGGGGATCTGCCTTTTCTCTGACAGATGGTGGAGTGGAAAGATGATGGCTCACCACAGAAATGAGGTGACCGCTGTATGGTCACTGCTGGCACAGGTGACATGTGAAAAGCCGAGAGGGATGGGGGAGGGTGTGCTGCATGCATCACCCTGAAAGGAAAGGCACCAAGAGGTAAAGAGGTGGGCGAGGGCCACAGCTGACCATCTGTCCACCCCGTTTCTCTTCCTCTTTCTCATTCTCTGTGAGAAACAGAGAAACACAGTGTCTCCCTCTGCTCCATAGATATGGTCAGGCCATGAGGCCCATGCGGCTAAATGGCCCAGAGCCAGATGTGGGCCATAGAAGCTCAGTGTCAGCACCTGTTAGCAGTGACACGGGAGCCATGAGGAGGTGTCAAAGCTGTCCTACACAGGGAAATAAGGAACAGATCCAAAAAGGAATGTGACCCCAAGTGAGACCCCACACAAAAAACCAACAACAATTTAGGGGCAGAGGCAGCTGCTCTGGGCCTAGGATGATCACAAGAAATCTGAACTTTGTCCCCAAGGTCACGGGGAAGGGAATGAGGAGTTTGGGCAACAGAGGGTGGACACAGTGCTCAGTGACAGAGAACATGCCACCCAAAGAGGTGGAAGTTTGAGCAGCAAACTCCTCACAAAAAAAGGAGTTGGACCGGGGGTGGCCTGGCAGAGAGATAGCACAGAGGGCAGGGCACTTGCTGTGCACATCTCAGTTTGATCCCTGACACCCCCACATGGTCCCCAGAGCACCACTAGAGTGACCTCTGAGCACAATCAGGAGTAAGACCAAGAGCACCGGGTTGGCCCCAAAACACTACCCCCCACCCCAAAGAAATAAATAGGAGAAAGAAAGGAAAGAACAACTGAAAAGAGGAGAGGAAAAAAGCTTCCCAAGACCCCTCCAACCTGTTTAAGGAAGAGAGCACAGTCCTGTCCAGCCCAGACACTGCGCTGCCTGTGATTCTCAGGGCACAAGGCTGAGAAGCCCAGAGAAGGCTTGGCAGAATAAAGCCATCAGTGCATGTTATACTCATCTCCTCTGTCCATGGAACTTACTGCCTTTGTCGATCAGGCTTTTAATGTCTTACCTGTTCTGTCTGTACTATACGCACCTAGAGAGGTGAACACACTCAAAGGGACCTGTCAGTCTGGAAGAATTAAGTTCCTAATGACGAGACATGATCTTATTTATTATTAAAATCAAAATAGGCTGAGAGCAAGTTGACGGGTCTGCAATCCAGGCCTATAAAGCATGTTTCTGCATCTGTCCAAAGCAATGGATTGAGATATTTTTTTGTAATAGTCTGACCCTGTGTACACAGAAAGTCTGGGTCGTAAGTAGCTATTTTCAGCACACGTAACCAAGATCCCAGACACGCACAAGTTCTGAGAGTTAGACAATATGGATGTCTGCTCTTTTCGGAGCCAAGGCAGTGTGGCCAGATCACTCAAAGCACACTGATCAGAGCTGACCTGAGGGACACAGGCCTCCTCCCTTGGCATCCAACTGCCAGGCCTCTTCCCTTCAAGCCTTGAAACACGTGGTTAGTGTCACATTTGAAATCCTTTCTGCGAGGCAAAGCAGCCACTCTCAAGGTCCACGCCTTCCCCAGACCCACAGACAAGTCACCCCAGAGGAGGAGGACTGGATTGGGGAGGGACGGACCCTGTGTTCAGTTGGGGAGAGCCGGTTTCCTCTGGTGACTCCTCCACTCTTACTGGTTCATATATTGAAGTCCTTGGTTTACTTGTTATAGCGCAACAGGAAAGTTAGGAGACAAAAACAAGTGCTTCAGTATTTAATGTCCTGTGGCTTTGTGTGGAAAGCCCACTGACCGCTGTGCCAGCAGAAAGCTAAAGGGGTAGCACCAGACACACCTTCTGATGAAGACCGCCCCAGACTTCCCAGGAACCAAGGGCTACAGGCATCCCCCTCAAGCAGAGGCTGCACCAGGCCCTCCTGCACATGGGCCCATGGAGCCACCAGTAGAAGCAAGGCAGCAGGTCACGCGGCTCACCTTTGCGCACCTGTGATGGGGACCGGGCCACAGACTGGCAGTAGTGAGGGTCACTGCCTTACAGCAGCTCATTCTCTGCCCGACTGAGCATCTCCCAGAGCACCTCATTTCCTACTTTTTCCCCAAGCACTTACAGAGCATCTCGCTTTCTCTACAACCTCCTGAACAGGCCCCACAGCAGCCCATTCCATCATACATCAGGCGCTGTCCCCAGAGCCCTGTTCTCCGGATTTCCCCAAAGCCACCTTATGGCACCCCAGTCTCTGAGTCTTCCTCCAACCAGCCCTCCAGCAGCCCATGCTGCCATCTTCCCAAACCCTAGAGAAGCCCACTCTCACACCTAGCACCCCTGTAGCACCCCATTCCCAGAGATCACAAGCACCCACTGTAACACCCTCCTGTCTCCCCAAGCACCCTCTACCGCACCTTGCTCTCCGTGTTTCCACATCACCAATGGCAGCCAGAGTCATGTCCTGGGATCTTGTCCCACCACGATTCTCCAATCTGCTTTGACACACAGCAGCTAAACCTTCCCCTCTCAAGTCCAGCTCCCTGACCAGCAGCAAAGAGGGTACCTGCATGCCAGGACTAGTCCCCTTCCAGTGCTGCTTGACTCAGGAGTGCCTGTCCATTGAACCCGATGGAAACCACCCCAAGAGCCAGCACCTTGAGATGCTGACCAGGAGACTGACTGGCAGCTCACATCTGGGTGCATCTGTTCTGCAGCCCGTGATATCACCCAGTTGGGCCTCTGCCTTCATCTGAGCATGGGTGCGGCTACAGGGTTTCCCTGTGTTTCCTTGGGGGTTGGGCTCAGGGTGCACCGGGCACAGGCTGCCTCACCCCTCCCTGGGCCCCAGCTGGCTGCCAAGGGCACAGTCCCGGCACAGCAGGCTGCGGAGTGCTCGCTGCATGTCCCGATTCCGCAGGCTGTAGATGAAGGGGTTCAGCAGCGGAGTCACCATGTTGTACATGACAGCTGACAGGGTGTCCCTCTCTGGGTTGTGTGAGGAAGAGGGGGTGAAGTAGACAACGATGGCTGTGCCATAGAACAGCACCACCACAGCCAGGTGGGAGCCACAGGTGGAGAACGCTTTTTGCTTGCCCTGTGGAGAGGAGACCCTCAGGATGGCTGCGGAGATGAACCCATAGGAGACGAGGATGCAGACAAAGGGGGTGAAGGCCATGAGGCCTCCCACTACGAAGATGACCAGAACGTTGATGGAGATGTCAGAGCAGGAGAGCTCCAGAAGTGGGTTGAAGTCACAAAAATAATGGTGGATGACATTGGAGGCGCAGAAGGACAAGCGGGCCACGAGGGCCGTGTGGAGGAGGGCATGGAGGCAGGTGAGCAGCCAGAGCCCCACCACCAGCTGGAGGCACAGCCGTAGCGTCATGATGCTGCCGTAATGCAGAGGGTGGCAGATGGCCACATACCTGTCGTAGGCCATGACACAGAGCAGCAGGCTGTCCATGTTCACAAAGGAACTGAAAAAGAAGAGCTGGGTGAGGCAGCGGGCATAGGAGATGGCCCTAGAGCCCGTCAGGGTTTGGACCACCATCTGCGGGATGGTGGTGGAGCAGAAGCAGATGTCCACAAAGGCCAGGTTGCTGAGAAAGAAGTACATGGGCGAGTGCAGGTGGGGGTCGAAAGTGATAGCCAGAATGATGAGTGTATTCCCCGACACGGTGACCAGGTACATGCACAGGAACAGCACTGACAGGGGGTGCTGCTGCTCAGCGGGGATGGACAGGCCCAGAAGGATAAACTCCTCGACCAGGGTTCCATTGGCCTTCTCCATCACCCCCATCTACAAGAGCAAATGGTAAAGGCAGGGAATTAACAAACAAGAGCTTCCCTTTGCTAGGGCCTGTGCTCATACACGTGACGAGTCGTGTGTGTGCATGCATGGTGTCTGTGTGTGTGTGTGTGTGTGTGTGTGTGCGCAACAAGGTGCTCTCCATACACTCTTCTGAGACACTGCAGCGCTGTGTCCAGATAATGGAGGTACGCTGGTAAGAGACACAATTTCTTTAGAGAAAGATTTTTTCTTCCACATGAAAACGTGACTTCTGTCACAATAACTACTTGGGGATATTGTGTTGGGTATTAAGTTGCTCACAAGATTCCCAGATGACCCAGGAGTCTGTGTTGGCCACTGTGGCAGTTATGCGCCCCTTTGGGAACGTTTGCTTTCAATGCATAATCCTCGTCTAGCCGCTCTGCAGATGAAGTGCTTCCTGGGAGGACAGAGCGCACACTGCAGCTCCTTTCCTTCTGACTGAGTAGGCTGTGCTCACGAAATCTCCAACACAGCAAGCTTCCAGTCTATGTCCTGAGCATATGGCAGTCCTGCAGGGACTCTTCCTAAAGCGGGCACTTTAGTCTCTGCCCAACATGGACTTTACTGACCCCTGTGCGCCTGAGTTTGTCCAATATGCATGTCACTGACCCCTGTGCCCCTGACCCCGACCCCCCAGTTCAGAATCACTCACCTTGTGCTCCTCTGTCAAGCACAGACGTCACTGACCCCCGTGCTCCTAATTCTGCCCAGCATGGATGCCACTGACTTCTGTGCTCCTAATTCTGCCCAGCATGGACTTCACTGACCCCTGTACTTTTCTGTTCAGACACTGACCCCTGTGCTTTTTTTTTTAGTAGGGAAAGCACTGACCCCTGTATCCCTGACTCTGTAGCACAAGTCACTGACCCCTGTGCCCCTTAGTCTAGCACAGTTGTCACCCATTGTTCCTTTGTCCAGCTAGGCTGTCACTGACCTCTGTGCGCCTGCCTCTGTCCAGAATGGACATCACTAACTCCTGTGCCCATGACTCTGTCCATCACGGACGTCTCTGACCCATGTGCTCCTGACTCTGTCCAGCATGGACATCACTCACCCCTTCTCTGCCAGCACAGATGTCAGTGACCCTGTCCAGCACTAACACTACTAAACCAGCTGCTGACTCTGTCCAGCACGATGCCTGCTGAATCCAGTGCCCAGGGATGGTCTCTCGCAGTGGCTCCTCCCCTCTTCCTCTAGAGTAGAGTCACTTCCTGCGCTCTCAATCCCCCTTGACCTGCTGCTCCCACAGCTCTCTGGACACGAGCCCCCACCTCTGCACAAGCTCAGGGGGCACCTTCTGTGTCTGGGCTACAGGCAATGCTGGAACTGTGCAGGGCCTTCTTTCTGCAAGATTTTCGTGGAGCATCCCAATGCTGCCTATGGAGACCCTTCTTTCTATTCCTTCCCACTTCCATCCCTTCCCCAACAAACTCTCGTGTCACCCGAGCCACAACAGGAAGAAGCCCCTTTCATGCTGTCCTCGGCAGGGGATTCCACAACGGGGTGTCCAGCAGAGCTAGCTTCCCTCTCTGAGGTAGGATCAGCAACACCCTTTTTCTTCGTTTTGTTTGTGGGTTACAGTTGCTAGTGCATTTGGCTACCTGTGTTCAGGAAATCCCACAGGACTGCTCAAGGGACCACATGTGATGCTGGGTCTGCATGCAAATTCTGAACTGGCCACAGTGAACTCTCTCTGTGGCCCAGTTATACCCATTTCCTAATTGTGCATTTCCTAACTCTGCATGCTCCCTTAACATCAAGCTATTTCTCTGCCGCCTGTTTCACACCAAGGCCAGTGATACACTGCTGGCAGAATTTTAACTTGTGATGCTGAATCCCTGGTGTGCAACACTTACATGCCACAGAGGACACATCATTGCTACAAAATACTGTTTATGGCGACAATGAATGAACACCCCCCTTTTAATCTCTACCTACCACACACCAGTGATATCATCTTGAATTTGTCCTCCTGCCTCTGGATTATTTTGCTCAAGCTGATACCCTTCAAATCCAACCAAGCTGCTGTGAACTGAATGGCTTAATTTTTCCTTGTGGCTGCATAGTATCTCACCGTAGGTGTATATGTACCGCTACTTTTATTTATTCATCTGAGAGTGCCAGATTAGTGAGGTGATAAGTGGAGACAACTAGGTCACTAGCATGTAACATGGAGGGGCCAGAGTGATAGTACAGCGGGTAGGGCATTTGCCTTGCGTGTGGTCCACCTGAATTCATTCTCTGGTATCCCAAGCACCACCAGGAGTAATTCCTGAATGCAGAACCAGGAGTAATACCTGAGCATCACTGATGTGATGTTTTGTGCAAAAAACAAACAAAAAACAAACACCCCCAAATATGTAACATGGGAACCTAAGTGAAGGGTCTCTGACACACCAATAGTATACCCAAGGGAGGAAACAGTGTGTACCCAAATGACACGGTATGAACAAATACGGGGGCAGGGGTGAGAGGAAAGGACTTCTGAGTCAGACCGGGTGAAAGAATATGAAGAGGGTCCTGAACGTTCTGAGGGGACATGCAGAAGGCAGTAATTTTGAACATCAATACCATTAACTTGAGCACTCTTGTAATTCTATCCTCTAAATCTAAAAAAATTTAGTAAGTAAAGGCCCTCCCGTTGATCATCGATTTGCTCGAGCGGGCCCGGTAACGTCTCCATTGGAGACTTTGTTGTTACTGTGTCTGGCATATCAAATACTCTCGGTAGCTTGCCGGGCTCTCTGAGAGGGGCAGAGGAATCGAACTTGGGTTGGCCATGTTGGCTGCGTGCAAGGCAGACGCCCTACCCGCAAAATTTAAACTGAGAATAAAATTGAATTAATATTTTGGACAAATCACATGATTTTGCCTCATGAGTGAGTTTTGGGAAGAAGTTTCCACTACATCATCTCATTCAGCGCACGTCATATAATTGCCGGTTTTTGTTCTAAAGCTGCATTATACAAAGTCAATCTGCCCTTACAGTATTTACTAGCTTCATTGAAATGTTTGCTGTTAAAACTTGCGGAGAGATGCCCAGGAAGCCCTCACTGTGGTAGCAGGCAGTTCTGTACATACCCTGGTCACTGACACCTTCCTCTGCCTGCACCTTCCCTCCCGCAGACAGGCAAGGGTCTCTGTGCAGATGTGGTGGGAGAGCAGAGCAGCCTCAGTGGGGTCACGCAGGAGGACTCCCTCTGACACCCGTTGTTTCCTTATGTCCCCTCCCAGGCAGAGTGGGCCCACCCCCTCCCCAGAGCCCAGCGCCCTTGGGGCTGTCCCATGTCTGAGAGCTCCTTCTAATGACTTGGGTCTCTTAGATTAATCAATTTCTCCTGACCTTCGATGGGAGGCGGGATTTTCTCTTACAGGTAACAGAACCTGGGTATAAACCTGGGAAAATATAGAGCGTGCCCCACCCAAGTGTCCATCTTCATTAGGCCCTGGTCAGCCTGACTCAGACGGAAACCCATTTAGCTCTGCTTCTGAGCAGCATTTCAGAGTCTTGCTGTTCTTTCCCTGTTTGGTTGTTCCCTTCCCCTCCACTCGAGTTGCTCCCATCGAGAACATTTCTGCAAGTGTGTGATGCTGCCTCAGGCACAGGCTCCCTGACTCTCTTCCAATCTGACTCTCTCAGTTAATAAAGTTCTGCTTTTAATGGAAACGGTGGCCTCGTGACTGCAGTTATGACAAGGGCCATGCTGTGCCAGATACTACTGTCCTATGTTCATGGGGCTGCATTCATGTCCATAGGTGCCCTCATGCTGAATGAAGGCTGTGCTCACAGCCTCACCAACTCTTACTGACCATACTCACAGCTCACACTGGCCACCATGCCACACCACCCCAAGTGCTCACTCGGCCTGTGGGAATTTCTTTTTTAAAAAAATTTATTTTATTTTATTGAACCACCATGAAATAGCTACAAGCTTTCATATTTGAGTTACAATCACACAATGATCAAACATCCATCCCTCCACAAGTGCACGTCCCCCACCACTAATATCCCAAGTACATTCCCGCTTTCCCACCCTCCCACTGCCTCCATGGGAGACATTATTCCCCATACTCTCTCTCTATTTTTGGGCATTATGGTTTGCAATACAGATACTGAGAGGTTATCATTTTTGGTCCTTTATCTACTTTCAGCACACATCTCCCATCCTGACCAATTCCTCCAACCCTCATTTTCTTATTGATCCCTTCTCTATCCCAGCTGCCTTTTCCCCCAGCTCATGAGGCAGGCTTCCAGCTATGGAGCTATCTTCCTGGCCCATGTATCTACTGTCCTTGGGGGTCACTCTCATGTTATTTTATACTCCACAAACGAGTGCAGTCCTTCTATATCTGTCCTTCTCTTTCTGACTCATTTCACTTAGCATGATACTCGCCATGTCTATCCACTTATAAACAAATTTCATGACTTTATCTCTATTAACAGCTGCATAGTATTCCATTGTGTAGATGTACCAAGGTTTCTTTAACCAGTCATCTGTTCTCAGGCACTTGGGTTGTTTCCAGAGTTTGGCTATTGTAAATAGTGCTGCAATGAATATAGGTACAGATGTCCTTTCTACCGTGCTTTTTTTTGCAACCTTGGGATATATTCCCTGAAGTGGCATTGTGGGGTCATATGGAAGCTCAATTTCTAGTATTTGAAGGAGTGCCCATATTGTTTTCCAGAAAGACTGGACCAGTCGGCATTCCCACCAACAGTGAAAGAGTGTCCCTTTTTCCTCACATTCACGCCAGCGTTTTTTTTTTTTGGTTCTTGTTAATGTGTGTCAGTTTCTGTGGTGTGAGATGATATCTGGTTGTTTTGATTTGCTTCTCCCTGATGACTAGAGATGTGGCACATTTTTTTCATGTGCCTTTTGGCCATTTGTATTTCTTTTTGAAGAAGCTTCTATTCATTTCTTCTCCCAATTTTTTGATGGGGTTGGAGTTTCTTTTCT